CTTCGACACCGAGCTCGTCAACATTGGCGGCGACTTCGACGCGGCGGCCGGCGTGTTCCGCTGCCGCCTGCCCGGCGCCTACTTCTTCTCCTTCACGCTGGGCAAGCTGCCGCGTAAGACGCTGTCAGTGAAGCTGATGAAGAACCGCGACGAGGTGCAGGCCATGATTTACGACGACGGCGCGTCGCGGCGCCGCGAGATGCAGAGCCAGAGCGTGATGCTGGCCCTGCGGCGCGGCGACGCCGTCTGGCTGCTCAGCCACGACCACGACGGCTATGGCGCCTACAGCAACCACGGCAAGTACATCACCTTCTCCGGCTTCTTGGTGTACCCCGACCTCGCCCCCGCCGCCCCCCCAGGCCTCGGGGCCCCGGAACTGCTATGAGCCCCGGGCCAGAGAGGAGCCCGGGAGGGCCAGGGGCGTGCATGCCGGGCCAGGCCCGCGGCCCGAACGCCTCGCGCGAGCGCCACGGCCGCCGGGCGCGCCTGGACTCTGCCAATAAAGCGGAAAGCGGGCCTGCGCAGCGCCCGGCAACCCAGGCCCCTGCGCTGTCTTGACTGCGACGCATTCGCTGGGGGCAGGCGGGATAGGCACTGACTACTGCGGGCCCGCAGGCCCGGGGAAGGGGTTGGAGGTTGGAGAGCAGGGTCCCCTCAGACCCTGGGAGGGTGAGGAGGTGGGAATTTGGTGGAACCACATTCGCCTAGTCCGTTGGGGGCCTCCCTTTCATACCCCTACCTCGTCCAGCCCTCTGACTCATCATTGACCTACGACCTCAGCCTTAGCCCCTGGCTGATGCCTTTCTGTGACAAGGAACAGCACCCCATTACCCCACTAGGGGCATGAGATCAAGGAGAGTGCATTCCTCCTTCCAGCAGGGCATGGGAATGGGATGAGGAGTTGATACCTGGTTGCCCTGACTCTTGCCTTCCCAGGATGGGGAGAGTGATTTGCCCAGAGCAGGAGTTAGACCGCTTATTCCGACATAGAATGACACAGGCTTCGGGAGTCCGAAACAGAACATTTTATGAGAAGAGCAGCACAGAATCAGGGCCACACCTGGCCCAGCCCACCTCCGCTTGTCTCTGCTTGGTCTGCCAGCCTTACTCCCCCATCTAAGGTGTTGAGATATTGCCTCCCTACCCCAAAAGAGAAAATGTTCAACCCTCCCCCTGTTTCCCTCTAGTCCTCCAACAGACAGAACTCAAAAAGTCTATTCTCCCAACCCAGATGGGAACTTGGAGGCTCAGGGACCCCAGATCCTTGGTTGTGCCTAAAAGGGGGTGCTCTGCACCTAGAGGATTCCTGTGAATTCCACAGGACCTATCACAGAGCGCCAGGGTAGGAGTTGGAAGGTCTGACCTGGCCTTACTTGGGGCAGCTTCCCTTTCAGCATCTCTTGAACACACTTCTCAACCCTGACCCCTGATCTCAGCACACACACACTGCCTGCAAGTCGTGCCCTTAGCTCTGTGGCCACTCCTTGCGACCCACAGCCTGGGTTCTTAGCCTCTCAAGATCCAGGAAATAAGATCGATTGGGTCGGGGTAAGCAGAGAGGGGGTGTCCAGGGTGCAAGCCAAGCCCAGAGATCTGAACACAGTGGAAAAAACCAGATGCCAGACAGAAGCCGAACACAGTGGAAAAAACCAGATGCCAGACAGAAGCCCCTGCCCAAGATGGGTCTGCCTGGGGAGTTGAGGAGGAGATGGGAGGGGGTAATGGCAGGTGAAAGAGCAAAAGGGGAGGGTCAGGGGAAGGGGTCAAGGATGGAAGCCCAGGACCCCAGGGAAGGGGGCTGATCCTGGGGGCAGAAACCCTTGCATAGGTCCCAGAGTGTTTCCTGTGCCAGGAGAGTGAAGACCTGGGCCCAGCGGCCCCGTTCCTCAGCCTCACTAGCTGCGTGGAGCCGGTAGACGCAGGACAGGCCTGTGAGGAGCAGATGTTCAAAGTCCCAAGTGCTAAGAGGAGGCCCCTTCCGCAGGTCCTGGAGCTGCTGCAGCCGCTGCTCAGCGCCCTCCAAGTCACTGGGCACGTGGTGCTGCAGGAGGAGCCTGAGTCGGCGGCCTGGGTGTGTGGACGCTAGTTCCTCATCCTGGATGTGCAGCTGCCCCATGACATCCAGCTCCAGCCCAGCCCAGAGCAGCTGCAAGGGGAGGCATGTAAGGGGTGGGCTGTGGCTTGGGGAGCAGGGCGGGGAGCAAGAGTGGGCTGGGGGAGGGGGCAGAAGCAGGCAGCAGGACCCATGCTGGCTTGCCCCCGCCAACCCCTAGCAGGTCCACCCTGAGACATCCCCATTCCCAACCCTGAGCTTAGGGACCTCTGGACATGCCCACCCTCATGTCCCAGGCTGGGAGGAAAGACCTCAAACATCACTTCCGGGGCCTCTGGCTTCTGCAGGCCACCTCCCACGCTGGTGCTGTCCATGGGCTGCCCTGGGGCAGCAGAGAGGAGTCAGGCCCCTGCCATGCTACACCATGAACACCCCAGCCTCCCAGAAGTGTCCCTCTGCTGCGTGGTAGAGGTCCCAAGTGCTTCATCATTCTACAAAAGGGCAGGAATGCCATCCCATGCCCCTGTGTCCCCTCCCTCTCATGCACACACATGCACATTGACATTCACTCTCCCAGGCATAGGTCTTCTGATCTCAAAAGCATCATTCCAAGCGTAGTTACCATGTTGGCAAATGCCCAGGACTCCTCCTCTAAATTGCACAATGCCCTTGGTAAAGAGCTCCAGGCCAACGGGTCACAAGACCCTTCCCCACCCTCCTCCTCTCCCTATAATCTTCGGAGGACAGAGTCACCTAAAACAGTGCCAGTGACTCTCCCAAGGACAAGGACCTATTTGGGAAGAGCCTACTCTCCCTGCTCCTTCTCAGCAGTAAGGGAGGGAGAAGGAGGACAGGGCAGGGAGGATAGGGCAGGGGAGGATGTGAGGCAGGGACCACAGGGCAGGGGAGGATGTCTGTGGCAGCTCCCTCCGGCCCACACCTTGGGGTGTTGCCTCACCCTTGTAATGTTTGTTCCAAGCCCAGACAGGTCAAGAGACCCTGCTTTGGGCATCAGTGGGAATGAGCCCAGGGCCAGCATTAAGAGCACCTAGGGCTATCTCCCTAGTTGTCACCTGTATCTTTCCAGTTCTGGGGGGGGCGGCCCACATTGTCACCCACCACAGCACACATCAGCCTGGTACCCACCATGCCCACACTTCTATGCCCGACTAGCCTCAAATAGAGCCAGCTGTTAACTGCCGTCAGCCAGCAGCCTTCCTTGGCTCCTCTCCACCCACCCTGAAGCCCCGGTACCTGCATGGTGCTGGGTTGTAGTCACACCAGAGAGGAGGCAGATGGCTACCACCAGGCAAGCCAGGAACTGCAGGGTCGCAGCCATGCTCCACCACGTCCTCTGAGTTTCACTCTGTTCAGCAGTTCTCTGCTCCCTCATCTGCCTGCCACACACCTCGGCTCCAACTTTCCACTGCAGGCTGCTCCAGAGCTCTGTAATGCGTGTCATTCTTCAATGCTGAACAGGGAGGGGCTGGCTGTGGCCTCGGTCACCTCCCATGGGCTCTTTCCATCCTTTAGAAATGGGGAATCTTTGGTTGTTGGCAGGAGCCTGGCTCCCTGCTTGTCAGGCCCTCAGCCTGTTCCTGCCCAGCTGGGCGGTATGCTTAGTTAATAGGAAAAAGGTGTTTGGTAGCAAATAGCTCTAGCTTGGCCCTCCCAAAGGGTAGGAAAGAGCCCAGGCGGTAAGACCATCTTACCGTCTGCACCCTCAAAATATCCTGCAACTGAGACCAGCCCCGACACCCAGTCTGGCCCAGCCCAGCCTCCATGGAGCCCTTCAGCTGCCAAAAGCATCAGCTGCAAAGTCTTCCAACTGCATGGCGGGCTGGCTGGGCGGCCCTGCATACAGGCAGAGCCAAGCACTCCCGTCTCAGGCACTCCGCCGCAGGCTAAACAGACCCCTAGACCAGCTGGACTAGGGAGTACTGTCTCCTGGCAGACAGACAAATCTGCAGCTCCTCAGTGGTTTTTGCCCCAGCCCTGGGACCTCTTATTTCCTAACAACATTCTTAATTCAGGGTGGGCACCGTGGCTCATGCCTGTAATCCCAGCACTTGAGGAGGGCAAGACAGGATGGCTTGAGCCCAGGAATTCGAGACCAGCCTGGGCAACATGGTGAGACCTCATCTCTACAAATAAAAAAATTAGCTGGGCATAGTGGTACACACCTGTGGTCCCAGCTACTCAGGAGGCTGAGGTGGGGGGATCAGCTGAGCCCAGGCAGTCTAGACTGCAGCGAACCATGATCACACTGCTGTACTCACCCTAGCTTGGGCGACAGACCAAGACCATGTCTCAAAAAACCCCCACCAGCCCGGCGCAGTGGCTCACACCTGTAATCCCAGCACTTTGGGAGGCCGAGGCGGGCAGATCACGTGAGGTCGGGAGTTCAAGACCAGCCTGACCAACATGGAGAAACCCCATCTCTACTAAAAACACAAAACTGGCTGGGTGTGGTGGCACAAGCCTGTAATCCCAGCTACTCAGGAGGCTGAGGCAGGGAATTGCTTGAACCCGGGAGGCGGAGGTTGCAGTGAGCCAAGATCATGCCATTGCACTCCAGCCTGAGCAACAATAGCAAAACTCTGCCTCAAAAAAAAAAAAAAAAAAAAAAAAAAAACACCATTCTCAGCTCAGGCCAGAAACCAGGAAGGTTTCTATAGCCCAAGAGTGATGGGCTGCCATGCCACACCCATCCTGAATCCCTGTGGACCGGAAGAACTTTTAATTACAGCTCTAGAATTCCTCTCAGAAATACATCCATGCCTGCAGGCCACTAGGTCTGCAACTACACTCTTTAGTCCCATTAAAATAGACCCCTAGCTGAGTGTGGTGGCTCACACCTATAATCCTAGCACTTTGGGAGGCCAGTGTGGGTGGGATCATTTGAGGACAGTAGTTCAAGACCAGCCCAGGCAACATGGTGAAACCCCATCTCTACAAAAACTAGCTGGGCATGGTGACGCACATCTGTAATCCCAGCTTCTCGGGAGGCTGAGGTGGGAGAACTGCTTGAGCCCAGGAGGCGGAGGTTGCAGTGAGCCGAGATCACGCCATTGCACTCCAGCCTGGGCAACAAGAGCAAGACACTGTCTCAGAAAATAAAAAACAAAAAAACCCGTAAGACTCCCTGGTTTAGTAGTGTCTCTCTAAGGGAGCAGGGAAACACCCCTGCCTGCCTGTGTCCCCCGTCAAACATCATTTCTCCCCATTACAAGCACACACGAATTGGTGAGTCTAAGTAGGAATTTATTTACACCGACACTCAATCTTAGATAAGGTGCTGTCTAGGATCCACATGCCTTCCCTGGAGCTACTTGGCTTCAGGCTTCTTATCTCCGGCTTCAAGCTTGAGACTCTCCGGGGGTTGGCGATAGACTGGGAAAGCCTCCCAGGGGCTGTTCAGGTCAAATTTGCGGAACTCTTGGGCCAACTCCACCGGCTCTGCCACCACCCGCTTCACCTCATCATCATAGCGTAACTGTAGGAGCAAAAGGCAGGCTTGAGCACTAAGGAAGTCCCTATTACAGCTACAAAGGAGCCTGTTTTTCACAAGGCTATGGATGACTTCCCCAGTCCAGTTCCTCTCCGTTACTGACTCCTGTCCCAGCCTCTGTTAATAAGTCTCCATCCACACCTGTGTTACCCATCAGATCACATCCCAACCAGCTAGAGTGTGAGATTCCAAAATGTAGGATACCTCTCATGCCCTGCCAGCACCAGTCGGACTCCCCTGCTCACCACTCCTGCATCAGGAGCTCCCAACTGACTGCTCACCCACCCACACACTCTTATAAGGTAATGGTAAGCATCTGCCCAGGATTATAGTAGTGGGTGGCTGAAAAGAGTAAACCTAAACTGGGAGATACACAACCTCAGGCTCTGGGCCCTTAGCATATTCACTGTCCAGATCTAAAGCGGTACGTTTGACATGGCTTTTCTTGTTACTGGGGGATCAAATGGATGAGGTCAGGATCATCAGGTGCTAGAGTGAAGAGGCAAACCAGGTGAGGCAGATAGCAGGAGTGGGGTGAAAGGGAGAAGCAAGGGAGACAGCCCTGCCCAGAAGTAGCCTAAGAGGGAAATAGGAGCATGCAAAGCACTAACACAGCAGGAGTGACTGGGGACTAAAAGACCAGGGCTGGAGCACCACATCTCAGCATTTCTAAACAGTTACTTTGCTATAAAAGTCACGAGTAATAATATTACACACTATCTTCCTGCAAATAAACAACCTGCAGCACCACTGAAATTCTTTATTCACGTTATTGGTCCCATCTCAGAGGTAATTCTTGAGGGCTAAACATTTGGTGTCTTCCCCATCACTGCCTTCCCAGAGAGTCAGGGCAGGGTAAAATAATCCTCTACTTTAGGTTTTAGGGACAGACTACGTCCTCAAGGCTGCCTTGATCATTAAAATTATCATTACAATAATGGATAGCACTGGCCAGGTGCGGTGGCTCACGCCTGTAATCCCAGCACTTTGAGAGGCTGAGGTGGACAGATGGCTTGAGCCCAGGAATTTGAGACCAGTCTGGGCAACATGGAGAAACCCCATCTCTACAACAAATACAAAAATTTGCTGGACATGGTGGTGCACGCCTGTAGTCCTAGCTACTCGGAGGACTGAGAGGTGTGAGGATTACTTGAGCCTGGAGGTGGAGACTGCAGTGAGCCGTGATCGCACCACTGCACTCCATCCTGGGTGACAGAGTGAGACCCTGACACACACACACACAGCATCAATTGAGCCTTTACAATACAGCAGGCTTCATACAGCATTTATTTATTTAGAGATAGGGTCTCACTCTGTCACCCAGGCTGGAGAGCAGTGGCGTGATCTTGGCTCACTGCAACCTCTGCCTCCTAGGCTCAAGTGATCCTCCCACCTCAGCCTCTTGAGCAGCCAGGACCACGGGCATGTAGCACCATGCCCCGTTAATTTTTCTATTTTTTTGTAGAGATGAGGTTTCACCATGTTGTCCAGGCTGTTCTCGAACTCCTGGACTCGAGCACTACTCCTGTCTCCCAAAGTGCTGGGATTACAGGCATGAGCCTACACATACATTATTTAATGCCTGCCACAAATCTATTAGTTAAGTGCTATTATTGCCATTTTAAGATGAGAAAGCTGAGTCAGTCAAACCAAGTAACTTGCCCCAAGTTACAAAAATGAAACTAGGATCTGAATCCAGGGCCCATGCTCTTAAACCACCACAATCCACAGACCACATTTCCTGCCATTCCCAGGGATCCCCTGAGTTCCCTGCAAGTCCCTCCCTGAGACTGCTGTCCCAGTTCCAAGGCTCCTACCTCAACGTAGCCAGATAGAGGAAAGTCTTTCCGGAAAGGATGTCCCTCAAAGCCATAATCCGTCAGGATCCTTCTTAGATCAGGGTGGTTAGCAAAGAAGACTCCAAACATGTCCCAGATCTAGGAAAGAGACTCCCTCAAACAGCCAATCCATCAAGACCAACAACAGGGGAAGGGGCTACATGGCATCCCATAGTCTCAACCAGTTCTGTAACTCTGGCCCAGAGGCAGGTCCACCATATCCGGTAACTCACCTCCCTTTCATACCAGTTGGCTGCCTTGAACACAGACATAGCGGACTCAATGGGCGTCAGCTCATCTGTGTAGGTCTTCACACGGATCCGTGAGTTGAAGCGCAGAGACAACAAGTTGTAGACAATCTAGGGAGAACAGAAGCATCTGGAGGGATGAGATGGGAGTCCCTGGTTGGGGGAGTTCTGCCCTGTGACCCTGCTTTCTATTCTGAACCTCAAATCCTCAAGATTCTCCTATGCTTACAACTACTTCCAAAGGCCCAGGCCACAGCTGTAGCTTAGCATGTCAGCATGCCTATGTTTGTTCATACTATTCCCTTTGTCAGGAATATTTCCCTGGTCCACCTCACAAGGCTAATTCCTGGTCTCCTGCTCATGTGTTAAGATTCAGCACAAACATTTTCTCTCTTCAAAGAAGCCTCCCAGACAGGGCCAAGTGCCCCTCCTGCTTTCTTAAAGCATCCCTCTAATATCCTTTGTATTACATGTTACTACAGTAAGCTGTTTAGGTGTCTTTCTCCTTCGAGAGAGTGGGGGGGACTCTTGGAGGACAAATACTTCATGTTATTTCTCTCTCCATCCCAGAGTCTAGCAAACAGTAGATAATCAGTAAAATATTAATAGCTAAATGTATTGAAAACTTATTGTGTGCTAACAATTTACTTGAACTATCTCATTGGATCCTTACAACCATTCTATAAGATAGGGGCAGCTTTATATTTATTTTCCAGATAAGAAAATGAAAGCTCAGAAAGATTAAACAAGGGCCAGGCACCGTGGTTCATGCCTGCAATCCCAGCACTTTGGGAACCCAAGGCAGGCAGATCACGAGGTCAGGAAATCGAGACCATCCTGGCCAACATGGTGAAACCCCGTCTCTATTAAAAAAATACATAAAATTAGCCAGGTGTGGTGGCATGCACCTGTAGTCCCCGCTACTCAGGGGGCTGAGGCAGGGGAATAGCTTGAACGCAGGAAGCGGAGGTTGCAGTGAGCCAAGATCACGCCACTGCACTCCAGCCTGGCGACAGAGCAAGATTCGGTCAAAAAAAAAAAAAAGAAAGATTAAACAAAATATTTGAGTTATCTGAGGTCCCATGGCCATTTAGTGGCAGAACCAAGATCCAAACTTGAGATCTACTTGACTCTGAAGTCCCAGTTTAACTGCTATGCTCCATTGTTTGTTACAAACGGAAATTAATACCCTTACCCCCCAAACCTTCTCAAATCTCCCGACTGACCTCAAAACGGTTCTGCCGAGTTGGGACATCCACTGCTGTCAAGTCAACCAGGGATTTGAACTGTGCATTGGTGTGATCCTTGAGGAAAGTCAGCACTGGGATGACGCCATCAGGATGGATACAGACCTCTAACTCATTGAAGCAGGACACCTGCACACATGGAAGGGAGGGGAGAGGGAACAAAGAGCTACTGAGGGAACAGCTAACTTCAGCTGGAGTCATCTGGCTTAATGCTGAGGGAAAAGTCCAAGGTTGGGATGGAGGAGTCTGTAGTTTCTTTGAAACCAGTCTGCCCACTCCCACATGCCCTGAGAATATGGTTCTTTCTTGGCCCAGACCCAAATAACAGTGGTACGTATTACCTGAACTTGTTGGACATACTTGGGCAAGATTTCAGCCACATACTCTCCAAAAGCTGAGAGCTGCTTGTGGGCCACATCATTCCGTAGTCTGACAGTGGCTGGAAGGAAAAAGCATATTTAACAAAGAAATGGAGAAGGCAAAAGCCAGCCCTGTATCCAGTCTCTTGGGCTTGTAAGGGATGTCAAATCCAGTAAAGGCTCCCTGCAGCACCCTGAGAAAGGGGCATGTGAAAGGTTTCCCTTCCAGGGAATAGAGTGATGAAAACTTGGGGAAAGTGCCACCTTAAGTACACAGTCCTCAGAAAGACTCTCAATACAGCAGCTGGGGTGTTCACCTCTTCTCAAAATTACTCTACAGTTCTTCCCTCACATTACCTGCATTTCTGCTAAAGCAGTAGTCTCAGTTCTCCTGTCAGACTAAGAGCTGTTTGAGGATGGGAACCAGAACTTTTGCTTCTCTGTAACTTCTTAGCATGTAAGTTTATACCAGGTTCTCAAGATAAGAACTTCAGGGCTTGAGGAGCCCTCACAGACTGTCTCCTTGAAACCTACTTTTTTTTTTTTTTTTTTGTATCAATGAGAAAACTGAGGCCAAGAAAAGGGGAAATGCTAGGTCTCCTAACTCCCAGTGCGTGCATCTTTACTGTAACATAATATGTACATACTCATTCATGCAACCCTAAACCACTGAGCACTCACACATCACAAGCTACGGAATGATGGTTAGGTTTTCCTGCCTCTGGCAGCAGGCAGGCCTACTTTGTCATTCACTAGGTCTCTGACCCTGGGCAGTTTAATTCTTTGGATTGTTTCCTGATCTATAGTAAGAAGAGTAAGATACTACCTACCCCATAAGGCTGTTGTGAGGACGAAATAAGATCATTCACTAAAACGCTTAGCGAGGTGCCAGGCACACATTAAGCACTAAACGTGAGGTACTATTATTACAGGGCTCTGAGGACTAAAGGGCACATTGCTTGCTTTCGAAGAGCTGACAGTTTAATCAGACAAAAAGGGGACCATTGAAACGGACAAGGGACAATCAGGGCCATAACAGAGAGGCCTAAGGGTACAGGGAGGGCTCGATTCTGCATGCAGGGTGAAGACCACCGCAGTCAGGTCTCCAAGATTTGCCAGGAAGACGCAGGGAAGGGCATCCTAGGGCAAGGACAGGCACCTAGGGGACCCCGCCGACAGTTCAGGGAAGAGCGCTGCCAGCACATACTCACGGCGCGTGTCGGCCCCGGCGCTCTCCCGCCTCACCGGCAGCAACAGAACTGAGGGTCGCCCAGCCCCTGCACAGGGAGATAAAAGGCACAGACGCGCGGGGTGAGGCCTGAAGAGCTCTCTGCACTGGGCACGCCGCTGCGCCTGACCCCGGTCTCAGCTAGCTGCCCCTCTCACCCCTCGTCAGCGCTGCGGCCCCCACGATTCCACGCCACCACAGCCTAGCTGCCGCTGCCGCAACCGCCATGTTACCCAGACGCAGACTAGACAGCGGACGGAAAGACAGCAGGAGACGGAGCCCCAAGGGCACGGACCGGAAGCGGAAGTGTGCAGCAGATCTTCTTCCGGGCGGACGTGGAGCCGGAAGCAGAGGTTCCGGGCTCCGGGATGAAAGGAGGGAACGCAGGTGAGAAAGCGAGACAGGCAGGTAGGGAAACCGTAAGGTGAGCGTGGTCCTAGTTCCGTGTGGCAAAGCCTGGAGAGAAGGCGAGGACGCTGAAGAACCAGACGGGTGAGAGGAGGGGAGGGGGCGGGCGTTCTGGGTTCTGCACTACACACCCCTCCCCCGCTCTCAGCCAAGCTTTTGACGAGGGCGGGCGGGCCTGAGTGGGAAGAACGGTTTCCCTGGCGACGGTTTCCCAGGCGACTTCAGGTGGAGCGGGGATATTGCACAGGGCGATGGGCCTCCCAGTGCCCCGGCCTGAGGGCGGCTGGACTTGAGTTCTGGGACGCAGCCTTAGGGAGTCTTTCGAGCGAGGGGGGAAAGTAGCTCAGAAGAGAGCAAATGTGAGACTGACGTATATCCCAGGCTAGGCCTCATATGGAGCGTCTTAACTCCATGCGCGGGGAAGGAGAGGACCTGGCCACTAGGCCGGGGCGGGGGGTCCTTTTTGTCTGATTCTGCTGCCCCGAACTTCACTAGTTTTATGCCCCAGTTGTTTGGTTAGTAAGGCTTTTACGGTCACAGGCCTCCCCCAGCCCTTTGCTTTCATATATTGACCTAAATCCCAAGTCTTTTGTTAATATCATGGAACGGAATTATTCCGTGTTTTCTCAGGAAAACACCCAGAGTTGGAACTTTTATTTATTTCATTAGCGGAGTGGTGCCACTGGGGAGAACGAACCCAAGTTTGGTTAAAGGATAGCGTCAGGGACATCATGGACAGGACCAGGACTAAGGCCAATCTGGACCCACTTTGCTGTCACTTCTTCCGTTTCCCTCCCTGAGTTGGACAGTTGGAGTCACAGATTATGGCTGTGAATTCCGCAAGTTACTCAAGGTGGTGTTGCTTTGCAGACAGCTGGCAGAGAGAGAAGTTGGCTAGCATGGAATCACCAGAGGAGCCTGGAGCATCCATGGATGAGAACTACTTTGTGAACTATACTTTCAAAGATCGGTCACACTCAGGCCGTGTGGCTCAAGGCATCATGAAACTGTGTCTAGAGGAGGAGCTCTTTGCTGATGTCACCATTTCGGTGGAAGGCCGGGAGTTTCAGCTCCATCGGCTGGTCCTCTCAGCTCAGAGCTGCTTCTTCCGATCCATGTTCACTTCTAACCTGAAGGAGGCCCACAACCGGGTGATTGTGCTGCAGGATGTCAGTGAGTCTGTTTTCCAGCTCCTGGTTGATTATATCTACCATGGGACTGTGAAACTTCGAGCTGAGGAGTTGCAGGAAATTTATGAGGTGTCAGACATGTATCAGTTGACATCTCTCTTTGAGGAATGCTCTCGGTTTTTGGCCCGCACAGTGCAAGTGGGAAACTGCCTTCAGGTGATGTGGCTGGCAGATCGGCACAGTGATCCTGAGCTCTATACTGCTGCCAAACACTGTGCCAAGACCCACCTGGCCCAGCTGCAGAATACAGAGGAATTTCTCCACTTGCCTCACCACCTACTCACAGATATCATCTCGGGTAAGTTTAGGGAGGGGACACAGCATAAGCAGTTACTTGGCTGTGATGTTCAGTGAATGTTCTAGTTTAGGAGAAAGGAACCCTCATGCTTCCTGGTGTTAATTTACATTATTATTCCTGCATTCATACTGAGATAACCTGCTAAGAAAGATTGAGTTGAGATTCAGTGTAATTGCTGTCAGAGACACAGTGTGTTAGAGGAAGAAGCCAGGAAAATTAAAGCACAACACTTAACCACACAAAAGTACCGAGGAGTGATTTGTATTATACTCTAATTTCTCCTGTACTTTGGATGTCCCGGTGGGTCTAATTACCTGTGTAAATTGGTGATGAGGTAAGATATCTAAGACTAAAACTTTTTTAGTGATGGGCCAACGTCAGGAAACAATCCTAACCCTGCAAGTGAGATATAACCATACTTAAGGTGTGAGGTTGGCTAGGCACGGTGGCTCACGCCTGTAATCCCAACACTTTGGGAGGCCGAGGTGGGCGGATCACCTGAGGTCAGGAGTTTGAGACCACCCTGGCCAACATGGTGAAATCCCGTCTCCACAAAAAAATACAAAAATTAGCTGGATGTGGTGGTGGGCACCTGTAGTCTCAGCTAATTGGGAAGGCTGAGGCAGGAGAATCACTTGAACCCGGAGGCAGAGGTTGCAGTAATCCAAGATCATGCCACTGCACTCCAGCTTGGGCAACAGAGCAAGACTCCATCTCAAAAAAAAAAACAGTGTGAGCTCTATAGCTTAGTAGGTTGCTTCCATGGCAGATGGGAGCATATTGAGCCATCCATTTTGATTTAAAAAGGCAAGGCACATATTCTGGTTTTTCTTCAGATTGTATAAATATTTTGCCTTTTACTAAAGATTTCCATGGAGAGGAACAGTTGTGAGTCTTTACCCAACTTTTTGAGGCCTCATGTAACACGAGACTACTTTTAAAAAAAAGCAAGGCATGCCAGGCATGATGGCTCATGCCTGTAATCCCAGCATTTTGGGAGGCCAAGGAGGGAGGATCGCTTGATGCCAGGAATTTGAGACCAGCCTGGACAACATAGCGAGACCTTGTCTATACAGAAAATAAAATTAGCCAGGCGTGGTGATGCACACCTGTAGTCCCAGCTACTTGGGAGGCTGTAGCAGGATTGCTGGAGCCCAGGAGGTTGAGGCTACGGTGATGGTGATTGTGCCATTGCATTCCTGCCTGAGCGACAGGGTGAGACCCTGCCCCCCACCCAAAAAAAAGGCAATTTCAGGTTAATTTCATGTATATGTGTATGTATGCATGGACATATATACACATGCCCAGCAGTAGTCTAATAAAGCGGTTCACATCTTTTAAAGTCCCTTACTCTGAATTTCTCTTTCGGATCGTCATTGACCATGCCTTTCCTCTGGCTCTCACAGATGGAGTTCCATGTTCTCAGAACCCAACAGAGGCAATAGAAGCCTGGATTAACTTTAATAAAGAGGAAAGAGAGGCTTTTGCAGAGTCACTCAGGACAAGCTTGAAGGTAAGGCAAATCTCTTAATTGTTGAGACTGCACACTCTCCATGCATTCTCGCCATCAGGTAACCTGGCCTTTTTTTTTTTTTAAAGACAATTTTTGCTTTGTCGCCCAGGCTGGAGTGCAGTGGCACAATCTCAGCTCACTGCAACCTCCACTTCCCAGTTTCAGGCGATTCTCCTGCCTCAGCCTCCCAAGTAGCTGGGATTACAGGTGCTGCCACCACGCCTGACTAATTTGTGTATTTTTTAGTAGAGATGGGGTTTCACCACATTGGCCAGGCTGGTCTGGAACTCCTGACCTCAGATGGCCCGCCTGCCTCTGCCTCCCAAAGTGCTGGGATTACAGGTGTAAGCCACTGTGCCTGGCCTAACCTGGCCTCTTTGTGTGTATGTATGTGTGTCTGTGTGAGAGAGAGAGAGATGGAGTTTCGCTGTTGTCACCCAGGCTAGAGTGCGATGGTGCGATCTTGGCTCACTGCA